GACGTTTTTGCTTTTTGCCCTCCATTTTTTTTGCGAGCGAAGCCGCAACAGGTACCCTTGTAGGTGAAGAAAGGAACTGATGCAAAGTGCTGATGAAGTCGTTTTTGCTGATTGTGATGTAAGCAGTCAGGAAATTATAAGTACCCAGTGGTATTAGTTGCTTTTATTATATATGTTTTGTGAAAGTCATGTATTTTGAAACACCTAAAACATGGATTTTTTATAAAGCAATTGATCGTGAAAAATCTTTATTGCGAATGCTGTGACATGAGTAATAAAAAATCTGGCGCCGAAAGTTCAAGGGTTTCTGCGTTCAGTCAATCTACGCAGAGTGAATTGGTGCCTAAGGAAACCCCGAAAGTGGCGCAAGAGTAGTTATGGCGGAGCCTCTACGTCACGTTTACAAACTTCCCGTTCAACTGCATCTGTTTTCTTGCGGATTATGCCCATTACATTTCAGTAAGGTGAACTGGTACATGTATTGAATTTGACACATAAAACAAAGGGCCGAAGGCCATAGCACGTTCCTGCATATAGTGAAATTTTATTTCAAGAAGGCTGTTTGTGAAAACAGCTGGAGATATCAGAAGTGAGAATGCTGACATGAGTAACAAAAAATCAGGTGAAAAACATGATCGCCGAATGCAGAGTCTGCTATTGGGCTCGGTATTCTTGTTATTAGTTTTTTGAATTCGTGACACTTACAAAATCTACCCAAACCAAAAAAAGTGGCCCATTTCCGCTTTAAAAAACACCAGCACGTTAAAATCCAAATTCGTATCAGTTTCCAATAGGCACTTCCAAGAGGTCGTATTATGGTAGCCTTTGATTTGATTGATGTAAAAAGAAAGGTGCGAAGCAGTGAGTTTTTGTTTCCAGTTTAAAAAAATTCAAATTCGTGTTTGACTCATCTATATAGCTGCCGATGCTGATGAAGGGTGAAATTCTGTGATGGAAATCGACTTTGGGACGGCAAGAGTGCAAAGGGTAGAGGTCAAATCAGCGCAGAACATGTGGTCGTAGCTTTTGAGTAAGAGATCTGGGGTCAAAAGTCCATCCTGCAGCCTCTCATGAGGTGCCAAAACAGTCCTTGGTCCGTAAGCCTGGTGTTAAACCACCACTACCCCTGCCGGCCAGTCGGAAATAAGTTTAAATTTGCTATTCGTAACTTGTTAGGAGCAGAGTGGAGAAAAAATTGGACTTCTCACATTCTGCCCCAGGTGGCAAGACGGCAAAAGGAGGCGAAATGGTGCAGACCCTACAGGTGGGTGAAGTTCTCAGATAAGGGTCAGATGCAGGGAGGCTAGTTCTTAACAGTAATTCAGACAGCCTATCGAGGCTGAGAGGCTTCCAAGTAAGACCCTAGTTTGGATATGTAATGATGCGAGTTATCAAGTTCTCACTGTGTTTGCTCAGTTTTGAGTGTTGCAGTTAAAGGACGCTGGACCTGCTTTCCAGCACTGTGCCTGCCCTGGGAAATGGCCCCAGCATTCCGGGGTGAGATGTGGAGGGATTCCCGGCCTCCCTTGTTATTTGGTTTAATATAAAAAAAAGGACTTTCCTGGCCTTACGGACCAGGTTCTTAGGGGGGGTGGCGACAGGCAGGCGCAGGCGGGTCCGTGCCAAGAATTTTCAAGCGCAAACTATGGCGAATTTTCACGCCAAAAAAAATTGGCAAAACAATCTGCAAATTTTATGTACTGTAGATTAGGCCGTGATCTTTCCAGGAAAAATATTTAAAAAATGAAAAAAAAAAAATAGACGGTGAAGTACATGCCGTGCCGTTTCGTCACATTTTCCATTTTTCCTACTCTACCACATATGGGCCAACGGAAAAAGAAACCCAACTTTCACAATTTTTTGCAATCAGAAGGATGACCCAATAACTCTGAAAATTTGAGGGTCCGTGGATTTTATCGTGATCTTTACAGGAAAAATATTCAAGAAAATACAAAAAACCATTTGCACCGCAACGGGGGTAATTCGACGCATTTTCGAATTTTGCCACTCCGCCAGTTCCCCCCACTGTACTACCGGTAGTCCTCATGGACCTGTGCTACCGGTTCCCCTAATTTATGACGGCGGGGGTAGTGGTGGTTTAAGCAACCAGTATATGCGTGAAATCAGCCGTGGGCCCCTCACAGAGGCTGAGACGCGATGCCGGCCGCCGATTTATTTTACTGACGGCATGCTGGCGTTGACGGCAAAACATTTTCAACAAGGCTGGGGCTGTGTGCTGTCGGTTTAAATGCCGAAAGAGGTGCCCAGCCCCTCTGGATATGAAAGAAGGCCGTGGGACAGTCAACAGTTGGGCTCAATGGGGACGCAGAAGTCAAGCAGTCGGAGAGTTTTTGGGAGTCTACCACGGCCACATATCACACACAAATCTAAAAGCTTAGTCCAGTTTCCAAGTTTCCTTGTTCCTCTGATGCGCAGATCGGAACACATATCACACACAAATCCAAAAGCTTAGTCCAGTTTCCAGGTTTCCTTGTTCCTCTGATGCGCAGATCGGAAGATCTCGGCCACAGGAGGAGGCAATTGGATGCAGGCCATGCCAGGTCATTGCTGAACATACTGGACTGCCCCTGGTTATTCATTCATTCTGCCTTCCTCTGCTTGGAAGTTTAAGCACTGCTCCTGGAGTGCTCATGCTGCAAGAAGGCAGACAGAACTGGAGAGTGGGAGAGAGAACAAGAGTCGCTCTAGCTGAGATAGACGGTGTGCTTCAGAGAGAGAGAGAGAGAGAGAGAGAGAGAGAGAGAGAGAGAGAGAGAGAGAGAGAGAGAGTGGTGTGCCATGTTTCAAGATTCACTGCTTGGCTCCTGAATGCGGACATTGCTTGGATTGGTGTTATTCTTCATGTGCCACATTGATACTGCATGGGGAGCGACTTTGCGAATTGGGTAGTGCTTATCAGAGACTAGTAGATAGAGGGAGAGGCTGTTAACTGCAAGGTTGCAGGAAAAGGGAGAAAAAGCCTGGAGGATGAAGGGGGGAGGCAAGACAAGACGTTGTATGTGTTTGACTGCCGCCAGATAGTTTATCACTCTCCTCCTCTTATTCGTCTCCTCCTTTGCGTAGACTCTTGTCTCCTTGCTATCTTTTGTGGGTTCATTGCTCGTTTCGAACTCTCTGTTATTCTGCACTGACCCAAGTGTTGTTTTATAAATCGAGCAGTGAATCGTAGAATGGTTGATGTCTGTAATGTGTACATCTGGACAGCCATCTAGATGGTCTGAGATCCGTTTGTGCAGATGCCAGTCTTGGTCGAATGATTTTTTGCAACCCGCCTATCGCTGAGGTGTGAACATGTTGCACGCATGCCTAAAAAATGTGCGGTCTTTTTGTTTTTTAACAACTTTCATATTATGGCATTCATACAAGGCTCTTGATCCATCTGTTTGTATCTTCCTTTTGTTGTCAGCGACATCGTATCGTTGACCCTAGTTTGTGTGTCTGGCTGGGCGGTTCGCCTGGTTGTTGTTGAATGCAGGCATGGGATGCTGTGTGCTGGCAATATGAAGGTGGTGATCGACAATTGAAGGGCCCTTATAACCTTACCTATTTGAAAAGGTGGTTGGAGAAGGGTTACCTTTACTTGTCACTTGAGGTAGGAACTGTTCCTTGGAATTCATCCTTTCATACTCCATTCTTTTTTTGCATGAATTTTTTTTTTTGATTTGTGAGCTTCGAAGTGAGGATGTACCCTCTAGACCTCCTCTGTTACTGGATGCAAGGATCCTTCTGGACCTTTTGTGTTTCCTTTCACTGAGCAAAGCTCTGACCTTATCCACCAGTATGTTTTACAGGCTTCGTGGATGAGGGGTCATGTCACACTTTGCGGACATTGAGAGGAGAACGTGTAGAATTAAGGTGTTGCAAGGTGCTTTGCTTACATTCGGAAACCATAATTGTGGCGAATAGGCGAGGTACGCTGGCTCATGTATGTTTTACTGTAGTGTTTGTAGTAAGTCCGTAACCCATAGCTCTTGGAACACAGACCTGAATCGGAATTCAGAATATATTACTGGCCTGCTCGTGTACCTCCAGCAGTTTGGCGAACGTCCTTCCAAATGCATGGGATCCCTGCTAATTCTTTGCAGGTGACGTTTGGGAAAAGAGACTAGATCCAATGGGAATTACGACGTGGCCCCAAATGATTATTTTTCTGTGCACTTGCAATTTTAAAAAGGGAGGGACACATTTGGTTACCACAGCCACATATACGTTTGGGCGCGCTTTGCAGGGACGGGCTAAGGAGAAGAGTATTAACCACCTGCAGAAGAAGCCACATATATGTTTGATGATATAGCCCTCGTTTGTTGTCCTCTTCTCTCTCTGTGCCTACGGTTTACCGGGCAGTTCTGTTTGTGACGATATATATATATATTATATTGTACGCAAGAGGTTCTGAACAGGGGGAGTTGTAAGGAAGAAGAGTAAAAACGAATTTAAGATTTTTTTGTTTTTTTGGTTTTTTCGCTTAGGCGCTCTGATATCATGTGACAATATATATATCTGTTTGTGATGATATACGATATATATATATATATATATGGGTTCAGCCTCCTGATGAGTCGGTGAAACTCCAACGAAACAGTTTGTCACAGCCCCTCGTTTGTTGTCCTCTTCTCCCTCTCTGTCTACGGTTTACCGGGCAGTTCTATTTGACGATATATATATATATATATATAGAGAGAGAGAGAGAGAGAGAGAGAGAGAGAGAGGGTGCATGTTTGTCGTTTGCCTGCACATAACGAGCAAATACGCGAAGAAAAGAATGTTGTTATGGGTGCCAATGAATCGGAGAATTCACTGGTTTACCCTCGTTTCTTTGTGTGAGCCAAGTTGTACCGTCAACGTGTGTCATCCCATGCAGCTGGCCTTTGATCCGGACCAGAAGCATGCAGCTAGGGGAGTTGTGCACCCACTGACATCTGGGAAATTCTGTCACCGAAAAAGACAATTGTGATTGCAATCAGGTTACGACCTCTATGTATCAAAGACTATCAATTAATGAACTTAAATGAAAGACTATTACCTTCTCCCTCTGCAGAGGCTGAGAGGTTGAATCCTTCATCGTGTGCGACACTCTTTTGGGTCTTGTAAAGTTTGTTTTCCATTAGCTGGATCTCCATGACTTTCAATGTCCTCTCATGTTGTGCTTGTCAGGTTTGACACATTGATGGGTCGATGAATTCAGTTACCCTAAGAACTGGTTACTATTGGTGAATCCGGACAGTTAGCAGATGCAGAGGCTGAGAGGTTGAATCCTTCATAGTGTGCGACATCCCTCTTTTGGGTCTTGTAAAATTTGTTTTCCATTAGCTGGATGCTCCCTGACTTTCAATGTCTTCTCATGTTGTGCTTATCAGGTTCGACACATCGATGGGTTGATGAATCCAATGACCCTAAAAGAACTGGTTACTATTGGTGAATCCGGACAGTTAGCAGATGCCTTGGGTGTTGACCATGATACCTGGGAGCGAAAGCCTCGGAGCAAAACTGGTGCAGGTGAGGAGCAAAAAGTTCCTAAGCCATCTCATGGGAGAGGGACAGAGAAGGAGTGGAGGAAAGACGAAGTTGTAGAGGGGAATATGGAAGATGAGAAGGAAGCTAAACAGACGGAAGCGCCAGTAGATAAGAAAAAAGAAGACAAGAGGGTGATAACGGAGTATAAGCAAGAGCCATATCAGGAGGAAACCAGCCAGGAGGAGCCTATCGAGCTTGTTCGCCGAGAACTTCACTTGGCGGTGATGAAAGTGGTGCGGAGAGCTGTTGTTGATGCCACAATCTCCCAGCGTCTGGAGCAGTGGCTGGAGGAGAAGGAAGCGGCAAGGCGCATGGAGGAGGCGGTGGTTGGAGCGAAGCGAGCAGATGCACCAGCAGTGCAGTACCGCAGGGAGGACATTGCTGGGAAGCATTTTTCAGTAGGAGATTGGTTTGACACAAGGAAGAAAAGAGGACAGGCTGCACCATCCGAAGGGGTAGTAGCAGTTAGCTCCCAGAAGAAAACATCCGGGAAGGTGGGAAATGACACTAACAAGAAGCTTCGGGACTATTCGTCATCGTCTTCTTCCTCATCAGACACAGAGAGCAGCTCAAGTGAATCATCTTCCGAAAGCAGCAGTAGTGATGATGAACCTGTGGACGCTCACGACAATCAAGAACCCACGGCTGACGAAAATGAAGAACCCACGGTATAGCTTCTTCAATCCTTCCCTGTTGTTGTCGTGTATAATGTTGGTCTGCTTCAAAGGGAAAGAACATGTGGAAGAATATTGTGCATACCCTGAAATTTGACTTCCCCCATGACAGGTGTATGCGTGAATAGCTGGCATTCTGTCCGATTGTACTGTTTCAGTGTTTTACTGAAGAACGTGTGTCAGATTACTGTTTTCTGACAGGGAACTGATGCAGAATTGAGAAAAGCTTTTCGGTTTTCCATCCACTGTGGGTTATTTGTGATAGTATTGGAACGTGCTGCTGTGACAGCATTCCTCATACTGTTGCTATGGGCATTGTAACTGCGGCACATTTTCTTGTCCACAAATCCTTTCTCTGCATCATAGGTGGACGTCGATATCCCAATCAAGCCACCATGGCATCTGAGCCGGCCACAAAAATGTGGCCCTTCTAGACAAGAGAAGGTTGCAGATAACGACGTTGGGAAAGTCCTGCGTGTCACTGTGGTTGCTCCCGAAACTCCCATGATGGCCCAAAGAATTATCCGTGGCCGCTTCGGAACCTTTTTAGTGAGTTATGGTTGTTCCTCCTTGATTTGCTGGTGAAGTCAGGTATGTCCTGTGTCTGGGGATGTTCTGTACATGAAAGGCCGCCAGCAGATAGTGCAGGGAAGTCCTGGGTCTTGGCCAATCCGCAATAGCTTCCTAGCCGAGGGCCTCATGCCGTCTGTTGCAATGATGTGTCCCAAGTAGAGGATCTCCTCCTTGCCAATCTTTCTCTTCTTGGCGTTGGTCTTACACTTCTTCTGCCTCAACAGCTCGAAAATCGATCTCATATGCTCCATGTGTTTTCTGTTGAACACGACCAAGTTGTCGAGGTGAACCGCTTCAAACATTTCGAGGTCATCCTTGAGCAATTCGTTCATGCACATCCTCGCACCATGTCCAGGAAGTTGTCAATCTTTAGCGATTGTTCTACATTGTCAAATCACCCGTCCATTAGCTGGGAAGTCCTGGCTCTTGGCCAGTCCGAACAGCTTCCTAGCCGCAGGCCTCATGCCATCTGTTGCATTGATGTGTCCCAAGTAGAGGGTCTCCTCCTTGTCAAACTTTCTCTTCTTGGCGTTGGTCTTACACTTCCCCCGCGACAGCTCGAGCATTGACCTCATATGCTCCATGTGTTTTTCTGTTGAACACGACCAAGTTGTCGAGGTGAACCGCTTCAAACATTTTGAGGTCATCCTTGAGCAAGTCGTTCATGCGCATCCTCGCACCTTGTCCAGCAAGCTGTCAATCTTTAGCGATTGTTCCACATTGTCAAACCACCCATCCATGGTGTGCCTATTTTGGTTCGATGTTGCGGCATATGCACTTGGACCTCCGTGATCTGTTTGGCTGGTGGCTCCAGCTAAAACGAAAAAAATGGTGCAGTGCCATTCAAAATGTAAAATTCGGTGCTGGTGATTTAATTACGAGTATTGTCTAGTTCTCTGTAGTTTATGCACGTTTGCACTCCTCCATCCTTCTTTGGGACAACATGACTGAAGTGCTGTATGGTAGGCTGCTGCATTCGATTTAGGCTTTCTCTGTGAGCTGAACCGTCTCTACAACTCTTCGCAGTCTCCAGACCACATGCGGTGATGCGCCCTCTGAGAGACGTCAGCTAATGGATGAATGGGGTGCTTGTCTACAATTCCTGCGGGCTCTTGGAGACTGCGCCCTTTGAGAGACATCAGCTAATGGATGAATGGGGTGCATGTCTAGAATTCCTGCGGGCTCCTGGAGACTGCAGTACTGTTGGACTAGGGACTGCCCTTCTGTGGCCTGCTCTTTGACGGAAGGGTCTATGTCTTCGCTTCGACTGCGTCTGCGGCTCAGACATCCAGGCGACACAAAGTTCTCTGTGATGCTGTTCAGCATACATGAAGCACTCTGCCACAGACATGCAAAATTTGCAAGATTTATCTTTAGGAGCCCTCTTCGTGTATCACTTCATGTTGGTCACCATACCGTCTTCTCAACCAGGAAATGACACTTTCTGGATGTCCCAGAAGCTTGCTGCATTTGAAACTCAGAGCTGTCATCGGCCAAACTCCATGTCTATCCTCCTCGTCAATTGTGTTTGGCTTAAATCATGGTCGTCCCAGGCTATCTGTTTCCTATCCCATCTCTCTCCTGAGCTTTCATCATCATTGCACGCTGTTTCTTATTGTCCTTGCCTTCTTTTTTCCTTTCATCGCTGCTGCTGCTTTCTTCCCTGTCCAGTATGCATCATCTACTGTGGCGCAGCAAAGAAGGCCTGGACCTGTTCTCCTTGGGTCGGGGTGCTGTGCAGAATAATCACTACATATACAACTATCGCTAATTTTCGGCCTGTGACAAGCAGACGATCGGCGCCCTGTGATTTTACACTCCGCGACGGTCCCGATCGTCTGCTGATCGTTCGCTGATCGTTTGCTCTTAGAAGTTGAACCGTCACGGGCGGCTTCGCACCAGGGCCTGTACCGGGCCCACACGCCAGCGCCGGTACCAACGTGTGTTTTCGACACTCGAGCTACTCGACTGACTTCTATGCTGCTATGCACGACTACGACTTCGCTCTACGTTGGACACACGCGCACTTGCACGTAGACATGCACGCACACGCACACACACACACGCACGCACGCACGCACACACGCACGCACACAGGCACACACACAGGCACAGACGCACACACACACATGCATACACACACACACACACACACACACACACAGACACACACACACACACACACACACACGAACGTGGTGAGTCCTTGGCCGGCAGTACAGTTCATCTTGGGCGGACTGTCGGGGTTCAACCTCCTGATGAGTCAGTGGAAGTCCGACGAAACAGTCTGGCTGAGTCATTTTGTGAGTCCTGTATAGCGAACATAACAGCACTCACACATACTCAGACTCACCCGCACAGAACACCCACACACATACACACACACACACACTCACACACACTCACCCAGGACGCACCATCTCTACATCCTGAATGTTGGACGCTGAGGCTTGAGCTGTGCAGCATCAAGGCTTTCGAACGACTGTACCTTGATGACCGACGGTGAGTTTGTTATTCATGTCTGTTGCTTTCGTTTTTTGTGGTCTTGGAACTATGAGTGAGAGAGGGTGCTTATGTGTCCGCCCGCGCCCGCGTGTGTGTGTGTGTGTGTGAGAGAGAGAGAGAGAGAGAGAGAGTGTGAGAGAGAGAGAGAGAGAGAGAGAGAGAGAGAGAGAGAGAGAGAGAGAGAGAGAGAACGAACTAACTACGACCCCCTGCTCTGCCCACCACCATCAAGTCTATTATTTGTCCCGATGAGTCTCATATCTTCCGACCAGTTTCATGACTGCTCCGCGCTCCATTGGGACCAATAAGAAAACGGAGGGGGGGGGAGAGAGAGAGACAGAGAGACAGAGAGAGAGAGAGAGAGAGAGAGAGAGAGAGAGAGAGAGAGAGAGAGAGAGAGAGAGAGACACTTGACCATCTCCCCTCGATCAGGTGTAGTATCTGTTGCGGTCAGTTTCATATCTGATCCGTGGTCGATCAAGACCTTTAAAAAAGAAAGAACTGATCAGTTTAATGGAGAAAAGAAAAAACAAGGGAAGCATGAGCGATTTTGAAAATAAAAGAAGCCCGAAACACAAACGATGTTGGGAAAACAAGAAAAAAAAAGCGAAGCGGGCGCGTACACAGCCGCAAGAGGTAAAACGCAGAGAGAGAGAGAGAGAGAGAGAGAGAGAGAGAGAGAGAGAGAGAGAGAGAGAGAGAGCCAGACCTAACGAACTATGCGCCTCCTCTCCCTCCCCCCCACACGATCAAGTGCAGTATCTGCTTCGATCAGTTTCATATCCGCACGCGCACAAGCGAGTGAGCGAGCGAG